CGAAGCGATCCCCGCAAGCAAGCCCGAACCAAACCAACCCGAAATCGGTCACCAAGCGGTCGCTGATTCGGAGTGCTCTCCCCAACAGGAATCGATCGCCAGGAAACGGCCAGTGGCTGAGTGGCTGAGTGGCCGGTCAGAATCTTGAGTGGCGCGACCCGGATTGCACATCCTCTCTTAAAACAGAGTCAAATCACGAAAGCTACCTGTAGCTAGCTGGAGTCTGTCTTGCTTTACCAAGGAGGGCGGGAACCCAGGACTTGAGTGCTAACACCTGGTATATCAGGAGTATACCCCCCCCCCCCCCCCTCCCCCCGCGCAGGTTCAACTCCACCCTTCACCCCTGACCGTTTCTCAGTTCCCAACGTGCTGTTGCTGTTCTTTGTCGCTGCTGCTGCTCCTGTTTCTTTGTTGCTGCTCTTTTGCTGCTGTTGCTGCTTGTTTGTCGCTGCTGCTCCTGCTTCTATGTTTCTTTGTAGCTGCTCTTTTGCTGCTGTCGCTGCTTCTTTGTCGCCGCTGCTGCTCCTGTTTTTATGTTTCTTTGTTGCTGGTCTTTTGCTGCTGTTGCTTGGTGGTTTGCTGCTACTACTACTACTACTACTACTACTACTACTACTACTCCTGCTGCTGCTGCTGCTGCTGCTGCTGCTTGGTAGCTGCTGCTGCTTGGTAGCTGCTGCTGCTGCTGCTGCTTGGTCGCTGCTGCTGCTGCTGCTGCTGCTGCTGCTTGGTAGCTGCTGCTGCTCCTGCTGCTGCTGCTGCTTGGTAGCTGCTGCTGCTGCTGCTGCTTGGTAGCTGCTGCTGCTGCTGCTGCTGCTGGGTAGGTGCTGCTGCTGGGTAGCTGCTGCTGCTTGCTATAGCTGCTGGTGCTTGATAGCTGCTGCTGCTTGGTAGCTGCTGCTGCTTGGTAGCTGCTGCTGCTTCTGCTGATGCTGCTGCTGCTGCTTGGTTGTTGTTGCTGCTGCTGCTGCTTGGTTGCTACTGCTACTGCTGCTGCTGCTGCTTGGGCCGCTGCTTGCTGCTTGCTGCTTCTGCTGCTGCTGCTGTTGCTGCTGCTTGGTAGCTGCTGCTGCTGCTGCTGCTGCTGCTGCTTGGTAGCTGCTGCTTGCTGCCGCTGCCTCTGCCGCTCCTGGTTGCGGTTATTGTTGTTGTGGCTGCTGTTGCTGTTGTTGCTGGGGTGGTTGTGTGTTGCCATGAGTGTTGGCTGTGTTGGGGTTGTATTGGGGGGTCGCTGTTGGTGCTCTCCATTTCCCTCAGCCATGACATGTTGCGATTCCCGGCCACCCCTCTGGACCACAAGTTAGAAGAATAATTGAATTGGAATTTGACTACAATAACATTTAAGATAACAAACCTTAACTTAGAATTCAGTTAGGCTCAGCTTAGACTTAAAGTAGATGTTTTTTACATATTCAATTTAGAATCAATTTAACGTTCAATTAGACTCAAAATTGAACCTAAATAGAAATAGACGTGAAAGTAAGTAGAATTGAATTAAACTAAGACTTGACTTAGAATTTAATTAAACTTGTATTTAACTGCAAATTTATAGAATTAAATTAGAATGGAATTGGTGATGAATTAGAATTGAATGGGACATACAGTAAATGCTGGTAATCAGTAATATTTCAGAATCAAACCAAAACCTGGAGAAAACCAACACAAAAAAATCAAGAAAACATCAATAGGACATTGAAAAAAACAGTTCAGACCCATGGAGAGGGACTGAGGAGAGGCTGGACAGGGGACATAGGTCTGATTTTTCAGGTGTTTGTCTACTTTGGGGCAGGCCAGCCAAACACACAGTTCAAACCCATGAAGAGGGACTGAAGAGAGGCTGGACAGGGTACATAGGTTTGCACCAATCACAATGCAGACAACCAAGATGGACTGCAAAACCATACAAAAACAAACAAGTGTTGTTGCGTGTGTGTGTGTAAACTTGCAAACTTGCATGGTCAGGTGTAAAGGAACTCGTCCCCTAATCCTCCCTTAGCTGTAGTGCTTCGACGTTGCTGCTGGTAGTGCCCTTCGGACCAAGGATACCTCAAGTCCGGCCACTGGCAGTAACCAACAAAATTTCAAGTCTGACATGTGTTGGTGTCAATGCACCTCAAGTCTGGCAAGTGCCAGTGCTTACTCAGACTTGAGTTATTTATGCGGGTCTCCTGAATCCAAGATCCAACATTTCAGGAGGGTCTTGGATGAAATCTTGGATCTTAGATCTATCCACTAACAAGGACTTGTCAGACTTTTGATTGACAAGACGCTCCGTTTGCCAGACTTGAGACAGAGGGTTCTCCACTTGTCAGGCTTGAAAAAAGTGGGTCATACTTGACCAAATATCTCAATCTGCTCTGAGTCCCTAAGCCCAAGTAGAAAATTATCATATACATTATATTTATGAAGAGGTTGGTCTTGGGGGGTACCATATATATATATATTACATATTACATATTATATATCATACACAGCACTCAACTTGCGTGTATTGAGCTCATGTCAGGGTCGCTCGTCAATCTTGTAATGTTGTAGTGTGTTGCTTTATACTTTTTGTGATGCATAATCTGTGTCCTGAAATAGATGATCGGTAGAAACTGGAATGTAGAAGCAATCAAACTTCTGAATTTAAAGGTACTGAATACAAAATGGATCAGTTTATATATATATATATTTTTATTTGTGCAACTAAACGAGTGACTTACTCGTTCTACCTAGCTTTGCCGACAACGTCAGAATCTGGCAGAGCCAAGCCAAGATATGTGCGAAGCAACGCTTGAATTGTCCTACTCCCAGGTCAAGATTGACTTCATGCAGGTCGCAGGAGCATTAAACCGTGGAGGTGTGAACTTGGAGGAAGCAGAGCTTGAGCCCAATATCTGAGGCATTCTGTGTATTCTAGTGTGCGTTCGTGTGTTTTCGGCATCGTGTTTCCAAGCCAACCCTCTTGTCCACAGTCTGGCCTGCTCTGAGGACACATCAGCACATTGCATTTATTAGGTTGGAAACATGTTTCTGCGTGGATGTAGCTGTCCTAGGGCAGGTCCACAGGTAGCTTGGTCCGGTGGTGAAGACCTTTTTGTGGCAAAGCCCCTTTCATTTATGCTTTGAAATTTCGCAAGAACTCTGGGATGTGCACTTCGGACAATCCGACACCAGAGTCAGACTCGTAAAGACCTTGCAGCAGCAGGGCTGGACTTAGATCAAGTCAATGCCGTGACTTCCAATGCTCTCGAATGCTGCCAACTAATTTGAATTTTACATATACATTGTGTGCTTTGGCGCAGAAAGATAAGTGTATATATATATATATGTACTATATGTATGATGCATGTGTTCTAGAGTCTTAACTTTTTTTTTCAGTCTTGGTTTGCGCGAGACATCATTTGTCACAGATTGAAGTTGAAGAAGCAAATGGGAGCTGCTGTTCACGATGGCCTTAATGTGAAGGACAGAGGTGATCGAACTTCAGGCAATCGCTATTTGTCTTCTTTGCTTGCCACTTACCCCCAAAGATTGGAGTGAAGACTCATGGCCCTTGGGATACAATTGGCGCTTTTCTTCTCAGATCAGGAAGTAAAGTGCACACCCAGCAAAATCCCAACATATGTTATACAATGTCATACAAGTCTCCCAGCTGGCCTATTGTCGGGAGTCTCAGGAAGTCTCGAGGGTCAGAACACTGTTTTCACTTCAGGGGCTCCGCGCTGGCGCAGCGAAGCCAGAGAGAGAGAGAGAGAGAGAGAGAGAGAGAGAGAAAGAGAGAGAGAGAGAGAGAAAGAGAGAGAGAGAGCAGCGATGCTGTTTCTCCACTCCACAGGTAGACTTCACAAAAGTTATTTGCCAAGAATCTCCGACAGTTGATTCTCATGGTTAATGCCTTCCTATTATGTATCATTGCAGTTTCCACTTTGCCAAAATTATTGCTGCTTGTTAGTGGAAGGCTGTTGAGCATCAACTTCTCCCCAAAGCTTGCACGGCAAGGGCCGGAAGCAATTGGTTCTTCAGAGGCAAATGGAAGGGTAACTGACAGTAAGGGTTCAGCCGGGTTCATCACAAACATATTCTGTGAGCTTCAGCCCAAGCCCGGGTAATCGCAGAGCCTCGTTTGACAGAACTCAGGGCCCTTGCATGGTACTCCCTTTTGCAGATCTCTTTAGCACTACCCTTCGCAGAGACCTCGTAGAATCCTAAAGCCTTCTCAGAGCTTTGTGGCAATTTGGATGCGCCAACTTGGCAGCAGCATTGTTTGCTGAACCCCCTTCCGCAAGCACCCTCCATTTGCCTTGACTTATGAGTTATTCTAATCTTCTCATGCCTATAGACGTTTTTCACAGCTGCGCTGCTCGAAGCAAGGCAGCTGATCCACCATTCCCGATTTGCTTCGTTGCTTTGGCACCATCGAAGCCCCAAAGCATAGAGAGGAATAATGAGCCTGGCTGTGGGGAGGAAGACACAAGACATAGGGGTGCAACATGAGCAGCTTTTGCACATGTTATCATGTAAAACATATTCTGTTTTCGGTGCTTTTCAGGAGGCATAAAGGACGGGATTTGAATTAGAAAGGTTGTGCGTAGGCATTACTCCGATCCTGGGGGATGCAGGCAGATGTAGGCCAAACACTGCAAAACACATATGATTTGTTCCTTGGGTAATTAGGCCCCGGCGCAAGCATTTGGCCATTCAAGGACTCTCTTTGTTCAAATGATTCAGGTGTATTCCCTTGCAAGAGGCCTCCAGGGCCTTCAACTGTGGCTGAATGGCTTTCATCAAACGGACATGTTGTTCTAAGCCAGCCAGTATCTATCTATATATATATCATTTTGTCCACCCGTGACATGTCGTGACCCCGGAGGGACCTTCGGCTTGAGGAAAGAAGAGCCCGCTCGGCGCCCCGCGGTTGGGGCGGACACTCCGCAATTGGTAGCGGAGCCCGGAAAGCCCGGGCTCCGAAGCCATGGCTTGTTGGTGATCCTGCGGTCAGGATCCGCACCCGTGACATGTCTGCTGCGGCCTCGGAGGCCGCCCCTTTGCGCTTCTCCGGAGAGAATGAGGATGGAAGAGAATACAAGAGATGGAAGACTTGGGTAAAGAACAAGCTCTTGACCCTGGACAAGTTACCTGAAACTGCTCGAGGAGCCTATATATACACGTTGTTGGCTGGCAAGGCCTTGGAGGCTGTTGAACACCTGGATCCTGGCGACTATCAGAAGAAGGATGGCGACCAGGTCCTGTGGTCGTTGCTGGACAAAAGGTTTCCTCAGCTGGAAGTGGTCGATGAGCTTGGTGAAATCCTGGGCGAGGTTTTCAATCTTCGCTCCCAGGAGGGGGAAACGATGAAACAATGGGCTGCCAGAGCATCGGAGCTGTTCGACCGATGCCACAGGAAAACAGGAGTTCAGTTTCCTGACGAAGCCAGGGGCTGGCTTTTGTTGCACAGGGCCAACCTCAGCGAGGAGCAGAAGGCCGTGGTCATTTCGCGTGCCCGTGGAGATCTCAAACGGGAATCCATTGCAGCAGCTCTCCGATCATGCTACCCCGACCTTGTTGTTGGAAAACGGCGAACAGCCGTTGCATTGGCAGAAGAGACCATGGACGATCCGACCGAGCCCCACGATGCCTGGGAAGAAGATTTTTCAGACGTGGAGCGCCTGCTGGAAGACCATCAATCGTCCGCTGATTGGGCCGCTGACACGGAGGCCTACAATGAAGCTGAGGTGGCAGAAGTGTTGGCTGCCACATGGAAAGAGCGTCGACAAGAGCTCAACCGTCTCCAAAAGACAAGACAATTCCAGAAGTCCAAGGACGTGAAGAGAGCATTTCGTGTGGAAGTGGAAGAGATGAAGCGACACACTACCTGCAACCGCTGTGGCCGTCGAGGTCATTGGGCCCGTGAGTGTCGAGCAAAAGACACTCGCAAAGGCAGCAGCAAGGGATCCGACAAAGGTCCACCTGCATCAGGAGCTTCTCAACCTTCAGGTGCTGCAGTTGTGGAAGAGCTGGATTTCATTGCAGCGATCATGAATCGCCCGACCTTGTTGGAGCAAGCACGTATGCGGTTTTCCAAGGCTGCTGGTGAGTGGACCCCTGACGAGGTCATGCTGGTTTCCTCACCAGGATTTGGTGTGTTGGATTCGGGCTGTGGTAGGACAGTTGTTGGAGCTTCAACTTTACAGAGCTTTGAAAAGCTGTGGTCTCAGCGTGGCTGGACAGTGCCCTCCAAGATTTCCGAGGTGCACCAGTTCAAGTTCGGAAATGGTGATGTGGAGACCTCCCACTATTCCGTTCAGATGCCCGTCATCCTGGCTAATCGCCGAGGGGTGATCAGAGCTGCAGTGATCAAAGGTGACGCTCCTCTTCTGGTGAGTCGCAGTGCCTTGAAGTCCCTTGGCGCCTCACTGGATTTTCAGAAGGACTGTCTCAATGTTTTTGGTCAATCTGTTCCACTCAAGACAAATGGAGCAGGACAGTATGTGGTTGATTTGCTTTCCCCCAAAGACACTCTAGCAGCTGATTTCACGGAAGTCATGACCCTTGAGCCTCATCCTCATCCAGCGAACCGGTCGCCGGAAGCGCCCGAAGCAGACACACCCTTGACTCTCGAGCCATCTGCATCGCCTGCGGCGGATGAGAAGCCGCTAGCTGTTTGGACTCAGGAGAACAGTGATGCGATGGCAACTCCGTGGTTATCTCGTTCAGGGCCTGCATGGAAACAAGTGGTTCGTAGGAAAGTGATTGATTGTGAAACCAACCAAGTTCTTGACGACTCCCCAATCATTCCAGGGAACCCTCAACATCGCACCATCGTCCGCCTTCCTCGAAGAGTTGCTCCTGTTCGGACCGAATTTTCATTTTTGGGTGAAACCATGTCCGTGTCCAATGAGTGGCAACCGACCGAGAGAGAGAGTCGACAGTTGGAAAGTCAAATCAAAACTTGTTTGGCCGTTCAGCAACACCCTCAAGATCGATGTCTTGTGATGGAAGTGTTTTCACCTCCACGTTTTTCGCTTGAAGCAGAGAAACATCACTTCCGAGCTCGATCGTATGATCTTAAGAACGGTTGGGATTTTCGCCTGGCTCAACACAGGAGAAAGGTGGAAGATGATCTCATCAACGACACGCCGTCGTTGCTCATTCTGTGCCCTCCGTGTACTCATGAAGGTGGTTGGTTCTGGTTGAATAGTCAGAAATGGGATCCTCACACAGTGTTGCGCATTAAGGCACAGAGCCGAAGCTTTATTCGATGGTGTTGCAAACTGTTCCGAATAGGTGTACAGTTGGGATGTAGGGTGGTGTTTGAGCATCCGACAGGGGCAAGAACCTGGCACTACCCTGAGGTAGAAGGACTCTGCCGACGTTTTCACACAGTGAAGCTTCACATGTGCAGGTATGGTCTTCAATTGCCTGAGAGTGACCGGTACATCCGTAAGAGCACCCGTTTGTTGGTCTCTCATGAAGACATGTCCAGCCTGGGTCTCACGTGTGACCAGACTGGAACGCATCAGTGTCATGATGTGATCGCCGGAAGTGCACCTGGTGTTCCTCGTATCAGTACATTTGCTGGTGCCTACCCCGTGAAATTTGTTCAAGCGGTGTTGAATACGATACCTCAGTTTCAGCTAGATCGATCCAAGGCCACCTCGTCATGTGAATGCATCGCTCATGTAGAAGTCATCAATGAAGAAGTCCCCGATGCGTCATGGACAGAGATCCTAGCCGCTGGACAGGTCCGAGACCGCTCTGACAGTGATCTGATTCCGGTTTTGGATAAGCTTCATAGGAACTTAGGTCATCCACCAAATCACGATCTAGTCAGAATTCTTCGTCATGGACAGGCCAGTGAGCAAGCAATACGTTTGGCTAAGGAATTCTCGTGTGATTTGTGCCGGAGTCAGCTCAAACCAAAGGTGCCTCTGCCTGCGCAACCTCATCGGATCACAGAGTTCAACAGTCAAGTCGGTCTCGATGTTAAGCACTTAAAAGGTTGGTTACCTAACCAAAAGGTGAAGGCATTAAACATTGTCGATACTGCCAGCAGTTTTCAACGGGTGATTCCTTTCTTTGAAACAGAAACTGCAAGTGTTTTGAGGAAGTTGTTCACCGACAGTTGGATTTCGTGGGCTGGTGTTCCCAAAGAGATCGTTTTGGACCCTGCCAGAACAAACCTGGGAGATCCGATGGTAGTGCCTGCCGAGCTGGACGGTGTCCAGATCCGTCCGATTGCTGCTGGAGCCCACTGGCAATTGGGAAAGTGTGAAACTCATGGAGGCTGGTTCAACCGCGTTCTAGAGAAGTTGATTGACGAATTTTCTCCATCATCCAAAGAGGAATGGTTAGAATGTGTAGTGCATGCACACATCAAGAACCAACAGTTGCAGGTACATGGTTTTTCACCATACCAATTCGTGTTTGGTCGCAATCCACATATTCCTCAGGACTTGCTGAATGAACCTCTCCAGGTCATCCCAGCAACAGCTTCCCTGACAGAAGCATCAATTGCCAGAGCTCAAGCTATTCGTACAGCTGCTCGTACGGCATTGGTTCAGATGCAAGACGATCGAGCCCTGCGGGTGGCTCTGCTGGCACGTCCCCGAGTGGAAATGACTTTCAATCCGGGTGATATGGTAGCCTATTGGCGAAACCAAAAGTGGGTTCAGGGTCAGCTCCAACAAGGGGGTCAGTGGTATGGAGTCGCCATCGTTCTCGGTCGAGTAGGTCGCAATGTCGTCATCATTCATCGACGACAAGTGCTGAGATGCGCTCCAGAGCAACTCCGTCTGGCTACTAATGAGGAGAAAACCCTGCTTGCATCGCCCCAAGCTGAATTGTTAGGTATCAAGGATTTGATTGATAGTGGTAACCTCCGAAGTAAACAGTATATAGACCTGTTGCCCCAATCTTATCCCCCACAAGAAGGACCAGTCGAGCCAGCTGTCGATATTCGTACCGAGCCGGAGTCAAGCACTGTGGTAGCGCCGTCTCAAGTGAATGCACCACTCGTGCCTGAGCCGATGTCCACTTCAGCTGTGCCAGAAGACTCTCAAGAAGAGCAAGTGAAGGGTGATCAAGAAATGACAGAGATGAAATCTCCGACACCAGTAGAGGAGACTTCTGACACTCCAAGTTCCGCCGAAACTGCGGCACCGTCGTCCTATGGTCCCATTCGCCGCCGAATCGAAGGGAAGGATGGACCAATGGCACTGTGGCGGCCTCCTGCCTTGAAGCAAACAGATTTTGTTGACATCATGAAGGAGATAGTACCCCAACTTGTTGAAGATGCATGTATGTCACAAAACAAAAGACCGGCATCTCCGTCCGCCGATGAACCAGTGTCGTCGAGGCCTCGCATGGCAGAAGTGTTGAGTGTTGAAGATGTTGATTTCCTCCTCCAAGCACAAAGTGTGTCGTGGGATTGCCTGATGGCAGAATATCTCAAAAAGAAAATGAGCAAGGAACTGCACCACAGCAACAATCCTCCCGACATTCAGGAAAAGGTCCAACTAGGCAAACGTGTGGAATGGGAAACGATTCTGTCCAAGCCTAATTCGGTAAAGATCCACTATGGAGCAAAAGCCGATCGCATTCGAAAAGAGGAAGACCATCGTTTCATAGGGAGTAGATTCGTGTTGACTCGAAAGCCGCTCGAAGAAGGTATGGATTTGGACCCAAATGACAGCACCACATTCACGGTAAAGGGCAGATGGTGTCTACAGGGGCACTTGGACCCGGATTTGTCTCAGAAGGCCGAACAGGGCCTGTTGAAGTCCCCTACCTTAAGTCAACTAGGCCGGATGTGTTTGTTTCAGACGATTGCATCAAAGGGCTGGGTACTTCAGTTAGGCGATATAAAAGGCGCGTTCCTAGAGGCAGGTCCACTGAACGATGCGTTTCGCCCACTCTACGCACGCCAACCACCTGGTGGCATCCCCGGCCTTCCTGAATCAGCAGTGATAGAAGTGCTCGGAAATATCTACGGACAGAACGACGCTCCGGCGTCCTGGTTCAAAGAATTTAGTTCGTATGTAAAGGGGTTGAACTGGTATCAGAGTGTTCTAGACCCGTGCCTGTTCACGCTTCGAGATGAAGCAGGAGCCTTGGCGGGGATCATGGGCGTGCACGTGGATGATACAGCAGTAGGTGGACATGGACCGGTTTTCGAGGCCTCAATCAAGAAACTTCGTACTAGATTCCCATATAGAAAATGGCGAATAAGCACAGGTGAGTTTTGTGGTGCCTGGTACTCCCAAACCAAAGATGGGGCAATTCGAATGGACATGAACGCTTTTGCCGACAAGATGCGATCAATCAATGTGCCAAAGAATAGTGCACCAGGTGATCCTTTGACCGACAGTCAAGTCAAAGTGCTGCGTGCCGTGAATGGCAGTCTCGGATGGTTGTCATCTCAGTCACGCCCGGACATCAGCGTCCAGACTAGTCTGTCCCAACAGGCCTTTCCAAAGCCGACGATCGAAGACTTTCGGATGGCAAATCAGGCGATCAGAAGAGCTAAACAGCATAGTGAGTTGGGAGTTGTGTTCAAATCAATTGACCCAGACCAACTGACACTGGTATGCCACAGTGATGCAGCATTTGCTAATAGGGGAAATCATACTCAGGCTGGATATATCATTGGATTCACTCACGCATCCCTGCAAGACGGATTGGAATCAACCTGGTGTCCAGCATCATGGAAGAGTTATAAACTCCCTAGAGCAGTGAGCAGTACCATGTCAGCCGAGAGTCAAGCACTTGCCACGGCCACTGGGACCACTGAATGGCTACTTTTGATGTTGGCTGAGATTTTTGACGGCCCGCTGACAATGCGATCCTGTCGAGACGTGCTGAAAAGACGCCGACCGATCATCGTGACAGATTGCAAGAGCCTGTACGATCACTTGCATTCTCCTTCTGCCCCCACATCAATCGATGACCGCCGAACCAGTATAGATGTGGTAATAATCCGAGAGAGCTGTAGGGCCATGAATGCTTTTGTGCGGTGGGTACCCACAAATCGAATGCTCGCTGATGCACTCACCAAAAACGATGGAGATCCAATAGACTTGCTTAGATCTTATATGAAGCGATCTTCATATCAAATCTCGCCTGAAGAAACTGTATTGAAGCATCAAGCACGAGAAAAGGAGTTTCGTAAGAATCTTCAGGCAAACTGTGCCGCTCCGTCGCCTCCAAGCCGGATAGGGGAAGAGACAGATCATGAGTGATCTGCATTTTTGGGGTTTAGAGTTCGCATTGATTGTTTGGGAAGTCACTGTGATCAGTGAAGGGAATCAATGTTCTTTTTGCCGGCTTCGACCTTAGAATGCAGCAGGTTGTGTCTGTGGCCATTTTGCATCCAGAATTTCAGTGTTCGTATCACGCCGTCTCACGACTAGACCGGGTGTTGTGTTTTGCAGTTTCCTCCCGACCTAGACATGGCCGGTGCTCCAGCTCAGTTGTCCACAGTGGCTAAGGAGCTCTTGACTAAGGTGAAGGAAGAAGGTTCGGTCCATCTGTTGCTGAACGCTTTGATGGAGCACGAAACCAGTGAATTTGAGTTTGTGCCCTCTGCTGGATACAGCCTGGACAGTGGTGCCATGAATGACTCGTCCAAGCGTCGCCTGACCGCTGACTCGAGTCAGGCCCCACATGTGCATTCCCAGAGGCCGATCGTGAAGATGAGCTCCCAGGACCAGGGATCGATTCCTCTCCCCAAGGGCATCACCTCGATGGACCATTGGGGTAAGACCTTGATCACTTCAGGAAAGCTGTCTAAGCAGAACCTCAGCTATGAAGACCTTGCAAGTTCACCTGAGACGGATTTGGTGAACTACAGTCGATGGCTCATGGCGCAGAAAGACCGCACCAACATGTCGCCACCCATCAAGGACCTCATTGCCTACTTGCTGGCTTACACGGAGTTGGCTGAGGGGTCGACTGAACGATTCCCAGACAGCACGATCCCACGGAAGTTCAAGAGTTGAACTGCCGACGATTTGAGCTGGACATGAGATGGCTGCATAGCTTCATGTGCTCCTACATCCAAAGATTATTATGAAGGCGGAGAATGTACCCGTAAGAGCCATTTTTGGAATTTGAAGATTTGAGACCAGTCATTTTGTCCACCCGTGACATGTCGTGACCCCGGAGGGACCTTCGGCTTGAGGAAAGAAGAGCCCGCTCGGCGCCCCGCGGTTGGGGCGGACACTCCGCAATATATATATATTTATAATATGGCCAAGCCGCTGGCTCAAGCAAACTTTCTTTTGCTGCTGTCAGGTGTGGTATGGTGCCATTTGTGAAGATTTCAACGTTTGATCCCTCACAATCCCACCTTCAATCCCACCATGCACTGGGTCTAGATGCGTAGTTTTGCATGTCGGTGGCCACGGTGTTCCCAGGCTAGGGAAGCGCGGCAGAGCTACGTTGAGAAATGTGACGAAGCATCCGCCGGGCGTCCCATGCTCAAAGGAAGGAGATACACGAGATGCTAAACTGTGCAAGGTGTGCACGTGTGAGGCAGTGAGGAGATCCCCGTTTTTATTGTTTGGACTTGTACAGTACCTTACCCTTTTTGCGTCCAGTTGCGTTTGTGTGTTGCAGCCCCAGTTGAGAGTTAGGCCATACAAGGCTGAACACACACAGGGGACTTCAACAGAAGACATGGACACGTTGTAAACATGCGTGCAGAACCGCAATAATCCTGGGAGAAAGGAACATTCGTGTGGCTTAAGTCTGGGATTGCGTGTCCAGACGCCACAACATGAGGACTCTTGAATCTTCAGCCCAAAGTCATGTGAAGAATAATCTCGAAGCACAAAACAAGTTAGCATTTGAGAACTCCCTTCACCCCCTGGGCGCATGTTTCAGATCAAAGCGCAATTATTGTATGTAAGAAAGTCCTGTTGTGCTGGCGCTGAGAGAAGGCAGTTCACAGGTGACAATGCAAGCGCTTCGACTATTCTTCAGGTCCAAACTGCTGAACAAACATCGCAATGTTGTGCAGGTCGCTGCTTTGTACTGCTGCATTCTTTTGCGAGGCTTGTGGAAGTTTGCTCTTCAGATCTCTTTAGCCTTGAATCTCTTGATTGATATTGGATGGTGTACAGTCTTTGAAGCCCTTTGCCATACTAATTTTCCTCAATTTCACTTTGTTGAAGTGAAACGCTTTGCACTGATGATTGATATATCAAGGCAAGGCAATCCTTTGACTTGATATGATATGTTCAAGCTAGCCGTAGGCGTGGTTCTTCTGCCAGGTGTGCCACCCACAGTAATTGATGCTCAGCCTCGAGGTGTACCCTTCATCATGCCCTGGAGCCAAGTACAACTCTAGTTGAATGTAGATAAGCACAGGCTGGCAGGTTATCTTCATTCATGTAGTACATGTATCATTCTGATTCATTGTGTCACAGGAGGAAGACAGTTTATGTGTCTTGCTCGCTTCAATTTCACATACACTTCGGTTCCATACGGTATAGTAATTTGGATGATGTTTTACGTCCTACAAAACACGATGCATTGGACCAGAATGATGAGCATTGTCTGTGTGTTTCAATACTGCACAGCATTAAAGGATGAGATTCCCATGTTGCGGTGCACATTAATACACCCTCAAGAAGCTCGGACTTTGTCCGGGCTGTGCGTCGAGGGCCACACTGTTTCAAAGGATGCCTTTCACTGGCCAAGGTCTGGTTTGTTTGATTGCGAGCAAAAAGTATCCGTTGTTCATGGCCATGTTGCTCGCATCAAGGACTCTGAGAGAAATCATGTTGTATTGACGTTTGCGTCATATCTTGTCACAGCACTTTTGGTTGCATCATTTGATAATTGCTAAAGAAACATTATTGTAAATTTGTATTGTTCAATCAGTGCATTTCCACTAACAACGAAGCTGATTGTCTTTGTTTCTCGAGCACGTTAGTTCCACCAAGCTCCCGACGCCCGAAGGACTACACGGAGGCACAAGCCTCAGCGCTGGACGCATCGGACATGTACCAGACTATGACAAGAGAAGCAAAGCTTCAGTTGCAGTGAAGTAGAAAAGGTCGCAGAGGTCGCAGATTTTAGGTTCAGGCGGATGTCCACCTTGACCCCAGGCAGGTCCATGAGAATTGCATAGAATTGCCAGAATGCTTTTTGCCTGCTTGTATGATAATAGTATGTGAAAGGTGAGCATGATTGGTCGCATTGACGACTGTTCGACATGCACAGGTTTCAAGAGCCTCAACCGCGGCCACTATGGATCAACCACTTCAAGCCCGAGGGGCTGAACCACGCGCTTAGAAAAGAGCGCTGTTTTGTCATGTGCTACCCACAGTGGTAGCGGAGCCATGGAGAACATGGCGGGCGCGGCATCCACTGCAGGCGCGAGCGAGGCGGCTGGCGAAGGCGGCACTTCCCCCACGGGAAGTCAGGGACAAGACAGAGATGCACCTCCGAGCTTCGACGGAGGAGGCCCTCATGCCTTCAAGCGCTACGAACGTGACTTGGCGCTATGGAGGTACGACACTGAGGTGCCCAAGGGAAAGCACGGAGTTCGAATGATCCGGCAGCTGACAGGAGCGGCTCGAGCAGCTGCCGACGAGGTTCCCTTGGAGAAGCTGCTCACGGAACATGGAGGCGAGGCCATTCTCACCAAGCTCAAGGAGCACTTCGCTCCTTACTTGGAAACCGCTCTCCCACGAGCCTTTGAGAGGGCAGTTTATGCAGACCCTCGCAAAGGAAAAGAATCGCTTCAGGGCTACATCATCCGCATGGACGCGGCGTTCAAGGACCTGAAGGATGAGGGCGTGACCTTGGAAGAGGTGGTGAAAGGCTATGTGATCTTTCGCCACGCCAACCTGAACCAGACCCAAGAAGACCAGGTGACGACGTGGACGGCAGGAAGCTACAGCCAGAGGATGTCATCAAGGCGCTTCGAAGATTGGAAAAGGTGCACCATGAGAAGACATCGAAAAGCTATGTCACCGACTCCTTGGAGGGTGAGGCCTATTTGATTGACGAGGACTACGGGAACCACGCCGACGACGACGATGAGAATTTCGTGTGCATCAACGATGGAGACCTCGACGAGATCTTCAATGAGGAGGAGCTCCATGAGGCCCTTGCCACCTATCAAGAAGTTCGGAAGGCCCTTCGAGATCAGAAGTCACATCGGAATGCTTGGAAGGGAAAAGGCAAGGGGAAGAAGGACTTCGGCAAGAGCAAGGCCTATCCAGGTCCATTCAGGGACACCCGTGAAGCTGGAAGTCGACGAGTACACGTTGAAGTTGAGGACCAAGTGTGCCCGTTGCGGGCAAATTGGACACTGGGCCAAAGAGTGCACGAGTCCGCCTGATGCACACGCTCGCAACAAGGAGAGAGATGCCACAACGGGCTTCTTTGTCGCGGGCGAGAAGGGCGAAGACCGAACCTTGTGGTGTCAGGATCCCCATCAATGCTTCTACGAGGTCACCCTTGGTGTTTTCGCAAAGGACCCAAGTCATTTTGTGGCATCCAGACGGACTCCCACCAAGGGTTGTGGACACGGCAGTCGGGACTCATCGGTGAACAAGCCCTCCAAAGACTTCAACGAAGCCTACGACAACGGGGACTTCAAGGGGTATGGACTGGGAAGAGTGCTCAAGCCCGAATCAATTGGTTTTGCAGCACCATCTACAGATCCCTATGAACACTCTCCCTTCCGGACACGCTTCGGTGGACGTGATGGACTTCGGCCCCAATGGATGGACACTGCCAAGCGCGGCACGGAGTGCCGGGCGTAAAGAACAGGACTTCAAAGTCTATGTTGCATGCTACCCAGTCATGAGCGGACCAAGCACGTCCTTCAATTTGCAATTCGGCCCTCTCCGGAACAGCAACCCCAAGTGCCATGGAGCTGCTGAATCAACTTCGACGACAACGAGCTCAGGCGGAGATGGGCGACGTGGGCACATCCGAACAAGCACGAGCGCTACTACACTGGCGTATCATTGGCAAGAAGGTCCTGGAGTTCATTGGCCAGTTCGAGGCAAGCCAAATGGACGAGGCTCGAGAGTCCGCTTGGCTCACGGGTGGATCAGGCGCTGGCTTATCGCAGCAATGCTATGCGGAGGGACTGCCTGCCCAACTACATCCCATGGCGAGCTCAAACGACCAACACTTGGAGACATCCATTCCGCCCACCTTCAAGCAAGAGCAGTATGCACAGGCGATCAAATCGGTGGGAATCTTCCAAGGCTTGAGGAAGTGCGCCAAGCCTGCCACTGCAGCCTACGAGAAGTGCTCACACCCCAATGCGGTTCAGAGAGAAGTGTGGTGCCAAAACTGCCATGCACGATGGAAGGTGGCATCAGTGATACCCAAGGCAAAGCCGGCACCCAAGACGGCAGCCAAGCCAGAGCCATGGATGAGTCCACCTCGGATGTCATCGACGGCGCCACCTGGAGGATATCAGACTCCCAAGAGGATGCCAAGGACTACCTCGTGGACCTCCCCAACTACACCTGCGACCCCGGCGACACCTTTGCCTACCAGTGCCAGGACCATCTACTGCACCTGCAACCTTCCTGTGGAGAGGATGACGGTCAAGAAGTCAGGACCGACCAGGGGAAGGCATTTCTACCGGTGCGCCATGAGAGTGTGCGAATATTTCCGATGGGACCCAGAAGAGATTGCCCTTCTTCAGCAATCCCTGACTCAACAGATGCCTCAGGGTCCCTCCAGTTCAGGCCATGCGCCAGATCTGCTCGAGAGCCAGCTTTTGACTCTCAAGGCAGAGTTGGCAAAGAAGGAGAAGGAGATCCAGGTGAAGGACGAGGCCCTGGTCACGGCACAAGAGGTGGCCAAGAACTGCATGAGCGAGGCGATCCAGCAGAACCAGTCCATGCTGCAGGAGCAGGAGGAGAGCCATGCCGCCCAGAGGAAGTACCTCGAGGACCAGGTGCTCTGGATGTCAGTGGTCGCTGGAGAGGAACGGATGCACAAAGCCATGAACGATCCG